TTGAACCCTGTGAATGCTGCAGCAAAGTTGCACGGAAAATTTACCAGTTGCATTAACCCTCATGATCCTATCGAAAGTTAAATAATATAAATCATTGGTGCTCACTTGTGAGTAATCTGAAAACAACTTTGTGGACTTATGTCAAATGAACTTCCTGCCCATTCCCTTCCACCAACAGAGATGCTTTGTTGGCTAAACAAGTTCGAGGTAGTAATCAACCTTATGAATTTTTAAAGCATGCGTTTGAAAACAAATTTAATAACGTTTGAGTTACACATTGAGGAGTGAGAAATAAATAGGTTTATAAATAAGCTGAAGAATAAACGGCTAAGACAATCTTGATGTAAAAAAAAAACTAGGTGACGTCCAGTCACATTTATAACTATATATTTGTACTGAAGAATCAACCAATAAATGAAATAAGTGTGGTGGAGCAAACTTATTCATGAACATGCTTATTTAGACATAAAGTGTGTTTGCAAGAGCTTACTTTTTGGTCAAACTTTTAAGCTAGCTTTTTCATATGTAACTGTTTGGTAAATCATCAATAAGATGACTTATGAGTCCCATTAAAAAAGTTGGGATTCCCATCTTTTAAAAAATAGCTTATAAGCTCATATAAATAAGCTAGGTTTGACCAAGTTCATGACAATTCTATCCATACAACTTTAATAAGAATTTTACCATAAAAGCTAAAAGTCATCAAAACCCTGACTTGTAAGCTCCTTAATATAAGGCCTCTCAAATACCTTCATAATGGTCAGGGTTAAGAAATTTGACACATAGACATGATGTCCATATGTAGAAATACCTTGCACAAATTCAATGGATATATCACGCAGCTATATATTAAGGGAATATCACTACATTGCTACACAACAGGACTGAGTAAAAAATTTCTACGCAAGTATCATTCTATTGAATTATGTAGTCATTTTAAATGTACTTTAATCACCAAATTATTAGAACCAGAATCATAACAGGTTTTAACAATCATCTTGCACAAAGTAGGAAAAGAACTATTAAATGCCTCTCTCATTAATTATTTCTAAAACCTTATCATCAGAATGAACTATAAAGACTAAAAGTTTGACATTGTCAAAAAAAATAGCACAGAGAAAGTGTTCGTTGCTTTCCTAGAACATGATCAATCTAACAGGAAATTTTCATCAGCATCCATATGCATTTAGGGAACTTTCAGGTTCATGCACGTTATATTAGTGCATGATCAAAGTTTCAAGGTTATATACTTATGACAGCAGTAACAAAGTCTTAAAAGGGTGAATGTGGCGCACATGCAGGCTAATGATTATGCAAGAAGGCTTTAGGTTATTTGTGCTTCAGAATTCAGTGCAATCAACCATTTTCCCTCTCCTTGATTTTTTTTCTTCATTGAGGAAAATTATGAAGTTTGCTCTTTCAAGCACGAGAATAAACTAAATAAATTAGTAGGTTACTTTATTATCCAAGCTGCCCAATAATATTTATTTACGGATATCCCCTCTATTGTCCATAGTAACTTTGATGGGAATTGCACCTACTCGGGCAGTTATTATAAATACACAATAAGGATTTAAATCTTATCTAATCTTTCAAAGAGCATTTACCTCCACAATTGACCCCCTCTTGTACCACGATAGATGATGATTATGATGTGACTGATGCAGGCTGATGAGTTTAAAATAATCTCTTAGTCAATTATATAAAAAAAGAAGCATACAAACCACAGGTCATCTTCCTGCCTGTTCTTTCACTCTTAAGTAGTTTGACTAACTCAAATACAAATTAATTTCAAGAGGCAGATAACCTATCGCAAATAGAAAACCTTTAAGGACAAAATTCTGATGAGATAATAACTTAATTAACTAAGTTGAAAAGGAGGAGTCTGATCGTATCTTAACTGCTTATGTTGAAAAGAACATCATGTTCCTGTGCAAAGAAAATTTTCGACAGTCAAATTCCCCTCAATAACCCAAATGTTTACAATGTACAGTTTGTGTACACTGTAGCAACAAGGTTGATGTTTTGCGGATAGCATTCTTATTTGGAGAATCAGCAATTGTGATGTGATTCAAGTGAATAGGTGGTTTCTAAATCAGCGCATGTTCTCAGATTTCATATAGAACAAAAAAATCCTTGATGTCTCAAAGATAGAGACAAGAAATTCAAAAACTTAAATTAGACATAAAGTTCTCTTCCTATTATATGTAAGCGATGTTGATACAATTTGTGAAAATATTTCAGACAAAAAAATGCAATTCTATTTTGATTTGTATGTGATGTATGCTACCAGAAATTATGGATTCCTCTCATTAAATATAGTGATGGTACCCAACAATTTCAGTACAAGCAAAAAGTAAACCCATAAAACCCAAGTTGCTCAAGGCTAAAGACTGTAAAGTGTAAACTACTGTAGCAAATTAAGAAATTGACAATCCAGAGTGGTATGGGTCATTTTTTCTGTCTTATGTCATAGATACCCTACAAAAAGTAAGGGGCAGCAAGCTTAATGAAGAAGTAGAATTCAGAAGGTGCTACAAAGAAAAAGAAAAAGAAATTAGCAGACCCTGGTTGGCAATCGAAACAAAAACTAGAACTATCCAAGGGCTATAATGTGCCTCAGCGGATGAAGATGTTCTTGATCTATCATCTTTATTGTCTCCATCAATACTATTATAATTTCATATATCTCTTTAGCTTGAGGATGTGATCTATCTTCAGCATTAAATGAATGCACTTTGTTGTTCACCTCGATCCAACTCCAGCCAGGGACTTTTTTCAACCCTCTATTCCTCATTACCCTCTGTATCATCGCTCCATTGTCCCACATCCCAAGACCAGCATACATATGTGACAGAAGAACATAAGTAGAATGGTATTCAGGTTCTAACTCTAGCAAATGACCAGCAACATGTCGTGCCAGCTCCATATTGCCATGATTTCTACATGCAGCTAATAGAGTCATCCAAACCATGGCATCTGGGGCAAAAGGCATTGATCCAATTAGATCCATTGCTTTGTCAAGCTGCCCGGCTCTACCAAAGAGATCGACTCCACATGCATAATGCTCCATTCTCAGTGGAATTCCGTAAACAGGCTCCATTGAATTTAAAATTAGTGAGCCCTCTTCCAATAAACCAGCATGACTACATGCAGAAATAAGGCCTACAAAAGTTATGTGATCTGGTTCTACTCTTAATTCTTGCATCTCATTGAAAAGATCAAGCGCAATTTGCCCCAGCCCATATGTCGCATGTACAAAAATTATTGAGTTCCATATCACTGAACTATCTTTGTGCGTCTCACTAAATGACCTCCTTGCATCATCAATCACCCCACACCTAGAATACATGTATACCAATGAACTGGACACAAAATCATTTGTGATAAAACCAGCCTTATGAACTAAGCCATGGAGTACTTGACCGAACTGAAGCACTGCTAGGTCCGAGCAAGCTCGCAGTGCAGCAGAGAATGCATACTGATCAATCACGATACAAACAGATCGCATATGGTCAAAAAACTTTAATGCATCCTCACTAAACCAATTTTGCGCGAGTCCAGTAATGATAGAATTCCAGGAAACCTTGTCCCTGAATTCCATGGAATCAAAGCATTTCAGCGCATCCTCCATTGAATAACTCTCACTACATCTCATGTACATTGTAATAAGAGCATTAGATACAGGAATTGCATAATCTAGACCCCTTTTAATGACTAGACCATGAATAACTTTTCCTTGTACATCCTGACCATGTTCGCAAGCACTTAAAACGCTAGTGAAACTGTACATATCTTGGTCATCTCTAACACCTTGCATACAAACGAAAAGTTTGATTGCATGCACCGTCTGTCCATAAGAAGCAAAAGCTGCAAGCATTGAATTCCATGTCACCAAATCCCTAACCCCACCCATTTCCTCAAACACTTTCCTTGAGTCATCAATTGAGCCACATTGTGAGTACGCGGTGATCACCGCATTGTACACAATGGAACTCATCACACTACCATACTTTAAAATCTTAGCATGCAATTGGGTCATTAATTTGTAACATGAAGTCTCATTGACCAGCGTTAAAATGCCAGCAAATGTACCCTCATCAGGCATCATCCCCTCCCTCTCCATCTGCCCAAAAAGCCCAAAAGCAATTTCGGGCTTGCCAACTTGGGAATAGCCAGTAATCACTGCATTCCATGAGACAGTGTTACGTTCAGGCATTGCACTGAACACCAAATACGCATCTTCAATCATACCACACTTGGCATACATATCAACCAAAGCACTCCCCCCAAACACATTCTGGTCAAGGGCAGTTCTCACAACAACAGAATGCAATTGACGCCCAATCCTTAACTCACGGGAGCTAGCAACTGACTTCAGAATGCTACCAAGTGCGTACTGATCAAACTCCCATCCTCTCCTCAACATGGTTTTAAAAATATCCCAAGCTTGATTATAATCACCACTGGCTACATATCCAGAAATTAAAGAATTCCAAGAGACTGTATCCCGTTGAGGTATTTCATCAAACACCTTTCGGGCATCTATGATCCTCCTCGACCTCGCATACACAGTGAGGATCTTGTTCCAACTCGATGTATGCGACACGAGCCCGTATTTTAACAAATGGGCGTGGGTTCTAGCAGCAGATGCCAAAGTTGAAATTTTGATGGGGTGTGAGGAGTGGAGAGTGTTGATTCTAACAGGGTTTAGTTGGAGGAAAAGGCCAACAGTGTTCTTTGCTAGATTTTGCATCAAGTCTGGAGGTGGGAGGTAAAGATGCAAACTTCAGACTAAAAATGTAAATTTTTTTGCAATTTTTCTCATATCCCCTCCACTTAAACAAATCCCCAACAAATCGAAAAAACATCAATCAAATAAAAAGAATAGGAGGGAGGGAGAGGGTACCTGGGATTTGAAATCCAGGGCGGCAGCGCCGCGTTGGCCGGAGAATTTGAGAGATTGGAACGAGATAGGGAAACCCTAGTTAGGGTTCGGGCTTTGGGGAAAAAGATAGAGAGGACGACAAGTGAAGTTTTTTTTTTCCAGATTTTTCTTTCGAGTAAATTCGAATCTGTGGGGGGCTGGAACGCAAATTTACAGAAGAGGACCTGTGTGTATTTTGTCCTTTTGTGAGGACTGTTCACTAAATACAAGACTGGACCTGGACTGGGCCATGTTGTCTGCTGTTAAAATTCTGGTCCGGCAACAACAGGGGGGGAAAATCATTTTAACAAAAGATCTCATAATCAAAGGTGATCAAGAAAAATTTTTTTGAGAGAACAAATATCTATTTCTCTAAGGTGGGAAACAGGATTTGAATTTGAGGCCTAGATTCAGGGGTTGTTTGGTTGTTTTTCGAAAAAAATCCGAAATGAAAAACTCACAATTCAACTTATTTCAAAAGATTTCAATACATTTCTCGTATTTCTTTTTTTTTTTTTGCTTCGCAATAAAATCACTGTCACGTCACGGCTACATCACATAAAAAAATCCAGCACCAATAATAATAGTATTTCAATTTCCATTTCTTGTGTTTGTTTGAACATAAAAAAAAGAAATGGAAGTCAGCCGCAATATTAACAGTGTTTTCAGCAATTAAATAATCTGTTTTATTCACAGTCACTATTTCAACAGTACTTTTAGTAATTAAAAAATTATTAAAGTGACATTTCCAAGTGTTTTCAGATGTTTTTGGTGAGAGAACACTTTTCTCAAAAATCTGACGTGGCATCCTACGTGGCGCCCTCGTTTCTTTAAATCACAAAACGAAACAAACATGTGATTTGAAAATCGGCTGAAACCAAAATCATACATGCCAGGGGGATTTCTTAAAATCTGACGTGGCGAGGGGGTTTCTCATTTTTTTTAAGCAAACAAACAGCCCCTTAGAATCAATGAATTTGAAATTTAGAATTTGAAAGCCATAGATTTTATAAATCCATTGTTTGGATAATTTTGTTAAGGGGTTGTTTGGTTCGCTATTATAAGGGGTGGAAAACTCAGAAAACCCCTCCACGTCAGATTTTTAGCCCTCCACGTCAGCTTTTTTGTTTCCGTCCATTTCTTTGTGCCGCTTTGGTTCGCTCGAATGGAAGAGGGAAAACTCTGGTTAAATCGCCGCCAACTAAGATTTTTTTTCCCTCTCCGATTTCCTTCCCCAACCAAGTGAAATTGATGAAAACTCTGTCACGTCAGATTTTTTTTTTCTTCTCTGCTTTGTTTACAAAAGTTTTCTTTTTTTTTCTAGGCGAACCAAACACAAGAAAAATAAATACATTGGTTTCCCACCATTTTTTATGTGCGAACCAAAGCAAAACAATTTATTTCTTGAAAAAGTTTGGAAAATTCAAAACTTATGTTTCTTTACATGGAATTGCATTTCTCTATATCAAGAAAACGAACCAAACAGCCCCTTATGTTTCTTTAAATGAAAGGATTCAAAACTGTATACACTTGTTAAACATTATTTCATAATATCCCTACATACAGTGTTAGGGATCTTTCTACCTCTAGTTATTTGATAACTCTTTTCTAATAAAAGATACTTGTTTTAGAGGTTACAACCCAATACACCATGTATTAAAATTCTTTATTAAATAACTGCTTATTTGTACTTAAATACCCAATATTTGTTCTATTTTTAACTTTGACACCCAAATGTATTTTCTTGCTCAAAAAACACCCCAAATTTTACCTCGTTTTTAATGTTGACAAGTCAAAGTTATTTTTTGCCAAAAAATAGCCTATAGTTTAAGAAATTTTAAGTTTAATAGCCCAAATTATAACAAGAATTTACTTTGATATCCTAAAGTATTTCCTTGCCAAAAAAATACTTCAAAGTTTACCTTATTATTAAGGTTGACGATTAAAAAAATTTACCTGAAACAAAGTTTAATAATTTTTAAATTTGATACCTCAAACTTCAACAAGAATTTGTTTTGATACCCAAACTTCAAAAAAAAAGTTATGTTTGGGAATCAAAGATAAATTTTATTGAGCTTGAAGGTATTTTGCAAGAGAAAACTTTAGGGGTACCAAAGTTAAAAATAAGGTACACTTTGGGGATATTCATGCAAATAACAGTTAAATTAATAAAATAATTATTTAAATGAGCACACTGATCAATGTAATTTTTTTTAAATAGAGAAACAAAAATGAAAGATGCTTATCTAGCATTTTACATAGTACATTATGTGTATATTAGAGCCAAGGTATCACATCTCATCTTCACAAATAAGCTTTGAAGTCCGATCATTAGGTTTGTTTTAGTAGTTGATCTTCTTTGATTAAAAATTAACCCAACCATGGTTTACGAATTTAACTGATAATCAATAGAGAGATCATGTTGTAATAATTTTTATGATTTAAGGTATCTATCAACAATTATAATGATCTGAGGGACTCATTATCAATTATGAAAGTTCAAGGGACCAATACTAAAAATACCTTTCTTTTAATATTCTTTCTTTTTGATGTTTTTTTTTTAATGAATACTTAACGTAAATTTTTTTGTTCTCTTCGCTTAGATTTCTTAACATGAATAGATGGACTTATCATTTAGCGTCTAAAGGCTAACTGTCATACATTAGCTACAAAAAAAATGTAACGCTTCTTAATTATTTAGTTAACAAAAAGAAGATTACGTAATACCCGGCAGTGGTTGACTATCTGATGGGTGAAGTCCTCACTAGCCGGTCAACCCATCAAGGTCTTAATGAATTAAGGTAGGACCTAGCTCCTCTGAGATCTCTTGAAAGGAATCTAAGATCGGATCCCCTCTCTGGCGAAGGCATCTCCAAAATAAGTTTGAGGTGATATAAATACCTCTTGATGTGTCCTACCTTTCGATGTTGAGGTGAGGTGATTAATATGCGAGTATAGTCTCATATCGAAGTATAGTCTCATATCGAATAAGATATAAAACAGTGATGAGTTTAAATAGGAGTTAAGTTCAATACCTAATAGTTATCGTTTTTGGGTTTAAATTGATTCTACCTTTTGTTTAAGGCTCATCAATTCTAATGCTCATCAATTCTAAATTGGGCCCGATTTATCCCCCAAGAGTTAAGGTCAAGGACGTCCAAGTTATTTAAAAAAAAGAAAAAAAATAAGATTAAAGCCCGATGTGAAAGCCTGAAGGTGCCGGGAAAACCCATGAATGCCCGTAGGAGAATTGGTAGCCGCCATGAGAGCATGAGTGAAGTGGTGGAAGATCTTGCAAATGTTTGATAAAAATGTGCTGAATGTATGGTCTAAAAGAGAGGAAGAAAAAAAGATAAAAGCCCGGTGTGAAGCCCGAAGGTTCCGGGAGAACCCAAAAAGAGAGAAAAAAAGATAAAAGTCTGAAGTCAAGCTCGAAGGTGCCAGGAGTACCCACTGATGCTCGTATGAGTGGTATAGTCTAGTAGCCGACATGAGCACGAGTGAAGTGGTGAAAGATTTTGCAGATGTTTGATAACCATGTGTTGAATACATGGTCTGATTAGAGTGACGTGGAATAGAAGTTAGTTATTATTGTGAAAGGTTGAAGATAGAACAATGAAATATTGAACTATACTCACAAATTAAAGGGGGGTTGTTGATGTGATATATGTGAGTATAGTCTCATGTCGGATAAAATAAGAAAGAGTGACAAATTAAAATAGGAGATTAAGTCTATAACTAATAATTATAGCTTTTTGGTTAAAATTAATTCTTAGCTGTTTAAGGCCCATCAAGTCTAAATTAGACCTGATTTCTCCCCCAACACGAGATAATGTCAGGGCTCTAACTTAGGCCTCCTCTCTTAGTATGAGCACCTCTAACCAAGCTTCTCCTTGCTATACAGAGAGAGAGAGAGGGGGAGGAGGAGGAGGAGGAGGAGGAGGATTCCCTTTTCAGTGGATGTATGTTCCTAATTATTAATAGTATGAGGTTTTAACACTTTATCTGTAACTATTATCAAATTATAACAAGCGCTGCACATTGAAGCTACTGTAAACAAAGTTTTATCGACCGAAAGGATAATACAAACACCACATATTTTCGAAGACATTACATATTGCCAACGTAAAATACATTATAGGCAACATATAGCATTTAAAAGAAGTTAAAGGGAAAATATAAGAATAATTTGAAGAAGGGTCTTTCAATGCATGGAGGAGCCATAAAAATTTCTCCGTGGGGGCGACAGTACAAAAAACGTACTACACATTGGTAAAAAATGTATAAAAATGACCATTTATAATCAAATTTCATATATATAATAATAAGTATGTTAAAGAAGAACCCAAACTAAAAGTTTTACAAACAATTGTAAATACTTAAATCATTTAAATATATGCACTCATTATTGAATCAACATGCTTCAATTTTGCAAACTTTCTTTTAAAATGTGTCAAACATATATAGTTGGTTTTGCATAATTTACAAACTACAAATTATAATCCTTTTATGGACCTAGCATTTTACAATAAACTATAAACTATATTGTTAAACTTATTTCAAACGATAATAAGAAGAAATAAAGTAATTTTACCTATCATGTTTATAAAATATTTGCAGAAGTACATGAAATTAGAAAATTAATTTCACATGTATATCTAGTTCCATGAAAGTGGAAGAATCACATTTCACAACTACCTTGCAAATTATCAAACCATATGAAAATTACATGGGATATAGTACATGAAAAAAATATTTAAAAGCATTTGACTTGTTTCACAATTCTATTATTAAATATAAAACTGCATGTAAATTGGACTTCTTCTCACCATTCTACTTGAAATACAAAGAATATTACATGAAAAATATGATGTGTGTGCCTTGACTTATATCCACTGATTTTGAACTTGATTTTGATGGATTTTTATGTTGATTTTAAGTTTATTTGGTAAATACCCATCTTGATTAGCCAGTACCCTACAATGATTAACAATATGGATGGTAAACATAATAAATGAATTAATATCAAAATGCTTCAAATATATGGGGGACTAGCTTCAAATATGAAAGATTTGAGGGACTAATTTCAAGCATGAGTGATTTGGAAATATTTCGAGAACTGACATCAA